AAATGTCATGTCGGAGTCACAATCCAAGGCTGTCGCTATGTTAAGGCTGTTTTTATGGGTTCTGTTTTTCCTGTCGCGGCTACAGGATTGGTTTTTGTGACAAAGATTTATGTTTCCATGATTCCATCAGAGAATATTCAGACTAAAAGGTGTCTTTGGAAACTTCAGACTGTCATGATGGTCTTCGTGAGCAGATGTTCGCGCCTCTGTATGGATGTATTCATATTTCAGACTAAAAACACCGTCTTTGGTCGACAGTTCTCCAACTTTTCTAACAGCAGAAGAATTTGATGTGTGGCAAGTTTGGCAAGACAAGATTCAGGTTGCTGATATCCTGATGAGATGGTGACGTGGACTCATCGGACGGAAACAAACCTGGTGTTCATGTTGTTGTTTGTGCAAAGTTACAGTAACTGGATAAGTTTTGGTTCCTTAGAAAAGTGTGAGGAAAACGTAAACCAACACATGGACTGGATCTTGCTGGATTGTTTACACCTCAGAGGTTTGAGATGCTGCAGATTTTTTATTTATTACAGAAAATAATTTACAGAAACAAAACAACTTCTTATCTTCAGGGTGAAGAAACTTTATTTTTGTGGAACGCAGCTGCGATCTTTTGTCGGACCTCTTTAATCTGCAGCCCGTAGATCAGAGTGTTGAGAGCCGGTAAAGCCACGTGACCCAGAACCGACGCCACCTTCCTGTGGTCCGACAGTTGAGGGAACCGGTGCAGAATCACGATCAAGAAGCCCGACAGCAGCAGGATGGCGTAGACGGCCAGGTGGGTGGCGCAGGTCTGCAGCGCCCGGTGGTTCAGCGCCTGGTTCTTGCTGCTCAGACAGACCACGGCGATCCTCAGGTAGGTGAGCGCCACGCTGCCGATGGAGGAGCCGAGCAGAACCACGGTGTAGCCCAGGCCGTAGATGTTGTTGATGAGCAGGTTCTCGCAGGACAGTTTGAAGAGCGAAGCGTTGTCGCAGAACAAGTTGGAGACGAGCTGCCTGCAGCGCGACAGCCGGACGCTGAGGCCCACCAGGATGGCCACCAGAGCCAAGGCCGACCCCCACGCCGCCACCGACAGCTTCGCCACCGTCCTGTTGGTCATGATGGCGGCGTATCGCAGCGGGCTGCAGATGGCGACGTAGCGGTCGAAGGCCATGATGATGAGCACCGTGTGGGAGACGCTGGCGTGGAGGTGGACGCAGAAGGCCTGAACCGCACAGTCGATGTAGTGGATGTAGCGCTGGGGGTTGGACACCAGCAGGTCTTTGAGGATGTGAGGAACCATGACGGTCGCCCCGAACACGTCGTTGACGCTCATGTTGCAGAGCAGAAGGTACATCGGCTGCTGGAGGCTCCTGCTGCAGAAGATCAGAACCACCAGGCCCACGTTGGACACCATGATGAAGACGTAGATGAGGAGGAGGAGGAGGAAGGCGGCGATGGAGGACTGAGGAGAAACCTTCAAGGCCTCCAGGAGCAGAACATCTGCAGCTGCAGTCCGGTTCTCCAAACTCATCTGCATTTATCGTTATCGACACTTTTCTGTATTAAAATTCAAGTTATCGCTTCTTTTCTGTGTTCCAGATTATCGACACGTTTCAATGTTAATATCGACACTTTAGTGTGTTAATAGAAGAAGAAAAGTCTTTTATCTGGATGACAGAAAAACACACTGCAGAGTGAAAACAGCGACACACTGTTGGTCTGAGGACATAACTGCAGATTTCATGATCTAAACACATGAAACAAACGCTTATTTTCACTCTTTGAGCCTGAGTTCAGTGTTGTCCTCCACATGGACGACACATTCAGCATCCAGTCCAACATCAAGCATCAAGTTATTGGAACTTGTGTCACCACCAAAACGAGTCTGAACTAGTCCAAAATGACACCAAAAACTTGTCCAAAATTACAAAACTACGTAGAAAATGATCAGAAAACTGTCCAAAATGAGTCACAATACTTCTAAATAATCCTAAAACATCTAAAAACAACTTCAAATGTGTCCAAAAATGACATAAAATGGCCCAAAATCATTTGAAATCCCAACAAAGTGATTGAAAGTGCGTCCAAAGTGACTCGATGTTACCCAGAAATCTGTCACGATGCTTCCAAATGAACATGAACTCGTCCAGAAATGAGTCTGAAATGACAAAAACACGGATTAATGACACAACTCATCACATTCAGAGTCACAGCTTTAAACAAATAAACGCACAAAACGATGCAGGAAACAAACATCTGATGCTGGAAATCTTTTGACTTCTTAAATGTTCAAATCAAATCTACGTCTGAGAACAAAGCTTCTGAAACATGAGAAATAAAAGAGTTTCAGCTTTGATGCGTCCAAATCACGTTCAGTTGAGCGTTTGTGTTTCTAGAACGTCCCAGAAACAGAGAAGCAGCCGTTTTTAAGCTGAAGTCGCCTCGTCTGTGTGGATTCCTCCTCCAGCAAACTGCTCACTGATCGTTTTCTGGAACGAAGCAGCTGCAGAGAACCGACCTGCTTCCCTCTGAACCAGAACCAGACAGCAGGTCCTTTATCGTCTCCTCCGGCCGTCATCAGCATCCCGTCAGGTCAGCCGTTGCTCGGCAACACGTTTCCCAGCATCCCGCCTGTCGAGGCTTCGTCAGGATCCGACGAGTGGAAGCTGCTGTTAGACTTTGTTCAGTTCTGTCGCAATAAATCAGAGAAAAGTAAAAAAAAAAAAACATTTAATCTCTTTGTTTATTTGACAACACGTGTCTGAAAACAGGAGAAACTGTTTATATCTGGAAGAACTACAAACCCGATGGACCGTTTGTCTCATCGGTCTCATTCTGTCGGTCTGTGTTGTTTTTGTGACAAATTTAATTCCGTTGTATTTTGTGTATGATGACAATAAAAGCATTCTGTTCTGATTTGTCCATTTTTGTGCCATTTTTTTCTCATTTTGTGTCAAATTATTCTCTTTTCGTGTCTTCTTTTCTTATTTTTGGCCTCATTTCTCTCATTCCGTGTCTCATTTTGCATCATA